GCTGTGTCTGTGCCCCCAAACCTATCTCCTGCCAAAGGCTGAGCTTCCAAGACCGTGGGTGGTCCTGTGGGCATTCCCTGTGGGCGTTCCCTGTGGGTGTTCCCTTGAGCGGTCCCCTGGGCAGTCCCCATGGGCGTCTCTGTGTACCTTCCCTGTGGGCGTCCCGACGAGCGGTCCCCGTGGGCGTCCCCATGAGCAATCTCTTGGGCAGTCCCCGTGCACACCTTGTGGTCCAACTCATGATTTTTGCTCTGATTCACCCCCCTCACTCTACCAGCTCCCTCTTCTTAAGTTTTCCTGACTTGACATCCAGCATTGCCTGTGGGCCACCTGCCAGGGTCTTGGGCATCCTCATGTCCCGCTACAGCTACCTGACCCAGAGGAGCTGGTGCACCCCTGCCGATGCTCAGGGGCTGTGTGGTCACCAGACCCTGCCTCCCAGGGCTGTGGTCTTCCACCTGAACTAAAGCCCTCCATCCACTGTTCCTGCCCACCCCCAGCTTCCCAGATACAAAGCTGGTCACTAACCACCACCATCCCCAACCCTTCCCTTCATTGAGCTTTGAGAACAAGAGCCATTGGGGAGCTTGTTGGAAATGTCGAGCCTCTGACTCAGGGGTCTAGTGGTGGCCCTGGGCCTGCACCTCTCGTCAGCACCCTTTGACACCCCAGGCAATTGGGGCAGTGGATTGACTGCTGGGCATGCTCTGCCCCGTGCAGTCCTACCTATGCTGGTCCAGGTCAGGGGCCGTCTGTAACCTTGGGTCGAGGTCCGTCTAAACCTCAGCCCAGCACCTGTCACATTCAGCGTCACTCAGAGGGCTGTGTTTCCAGCTGCCCTCTGGGCTGAGCTCCTGCCTCAAGGGTCCTGTCTCTTCTGTCTGGGTTTGTGGGGTCCCACAGGTGCTCTAGAAACATCTGTGCTGAAGGAGAAACTGAGGCGGTGGGACTGTGCTTGGGAAGTCAGGCCAAGGGCGGTGGCCAGGGGAGGCCACACAGCCCACTCCTGAGGAAGAAGCTCTTTTTCAACCCAGGACTACTGAAAGCTGGGTCAGGGCACCAAGTTGGGGACTCTGGGTTGGGACAGCAGGTTTGGATGCTGTGTCTGAACACTGGCTCAGAGTAGTGGGCTGGTGAGCTGGGTCAGGGCACCAGGTTGGGGTGCTGGGTTGGGGCACCGGGTAGGGTTCTGGGTCAGAGTGCTGTGTCTGAACACTGGGTCAGTGTGCTGGGTCTGTGGGGCCAGTGGGGCCTGATCAGGATGCTGGGTGGGAGGGGCACGTCAGAGAGGGGCTCAGGGTGCTGTGTCAGGTGGTTGGTTGGAGTGCTGGGTCAGGGTGGAGAGTCGAGGTGGTGGGTTGGTGTGCCAGGTTAGGGTGGGTCAGGGCACTGGGTCATTGAGGCCAGATCAGGGTGCTGTGTGGGGAGGGCAAGTCAGAGGGTGGGTGAAGTTCTGGGTCAGGGCACCAGGTGGTAAGGCATCGTGTCCGGGTGCTGTGTTGGACCACCAGGTCGGGGCGGGGCTCCAGGCTGGGGTGGCAGGTTGTGGCACCAGGTGGTGGGGAGGTTGGGTCGGGCCAACTTCCTCAGCAGCTTGGATGGGCCCAAGGCTGACCCCATCTGTGAGTGCTTACTCTGGGCCCAGCCACATACCAGCAGCTCCCTCTCATGAGGGAAGTATTGTCACCCCACTCTGTAGACAGGGGAACTGGGGCTTAAGGCTGTGACTGCTTAGCCCATCAGCAAGAATTAGTGAAGCCAAGACTGGCACTGGGCTCATCGTCCTTGTGCTATTCTGCGGCGGCCCCTGTAAGGCACATTTAGAGCCTAAATGGGGGGTGGATGGAATAAATTATTGACTGCTTATTTTTTGAGACAGTCAGGCATGAAGCCTCTGCTCACTGATTCATACAGTATCACCTGGTTGCCCAGCCCTGTCTAGGCCCTGGGGGTCCAGGTTTGTGGGGTACAGCTACGAGTATTCACTCCCTGCCCCCAAGGGCCTCACAATCCTGGAAGTGATGACTGACAGGCTGAGAGTCTCCACCAGGATCAGAAGTAGGACAGGAGAGCTAGCATCCTAGTAGAGAAATCCAGGGAGTCTTCTTGGATGAGGGGGCACAGAAATTGGGCCTCAAAGGGCAGAATATAGAGTAAATGGAGGGTGGGCGGGGCTTTACTAGCTTGCCACCGTTTTCCCCAGTGTCTAGAACAACAGCTGTTATAAAACAGACTCTCAGTGCATGAAAAACTTATCAAAACTGCAGGAGAAATCTGGCCTACGAAGTTCAATTAAAAAAAAAAATCCTAGATATGTCTTCATGAAATTTTAGAACAACAAGGGTAAAAGAAAATTCTTAAAAACCAACATAATTTTTTTTAAAAAAAGTTTCTCTGAAAAGAAACAAAAACAAACTTGACTCTGGGCTTCCTCAGAGCAATAGTAGAGGAGAGAAAATAATGTCTTCAGAGTTCCAAGGGGACTTGGTTTTGTATCTAGAATCATTTTATACCCAGCCAAACTAGCATTCCAATGGCAGCACCCAATAAGGACATTTTAGAAATGTAACACAGAAAATGGGTTACCCACATGTCCTTTCTGAAAATAATTTTTCAAAACACAACACAACACACACACACACAGATACTCTAAAAACCAAGCTCTGTGGTAAGCAAAGAAAACATTAAAATATATGCTAGCTCTTACAATTGTCGAGGCATATTGTAAAACATGGACTCACACATACCAACAATCATGAAGATTGGGGCAACATTTCCTTCTGTTACATGTAAGGTGTCCATGGGTCTGAGCCGACTCAATGGCAACTAACAACAATGTAAAAAAAATTTAATGTCAGCCTAGCATTTAAACCCCAGATGGCCTCACTGGTAGGTGACAGAGGTGGCAGTTAGAGTTCCATGACGTTCTCATCTTGCTCAGGAGGAAGAAACAGATGCCAGCCAGCCATGGATGCTGGGAGAAAAATGTGGGCTTACACGTGCAGGCAGTAAAACTTCAGGGTGACCACTAAAAAAAAAAAAAAACAAAAAACAAAAAAACAAACCAAACTCGTTGCCATCGAGTTTATTCTGATTCATACCGACCTGTGGCACAGTGGTTAAAAGCTCAGACTGCAAACCAAAAGGTCAGCAGTTCGAATCCACCAGCTGCTCCTTGGAAACTCTATGGGGCAGTTCTACTCTGTCCTATAGAGTCACTACGAGTCATGTGACCCCTAGAAGGGAAGAAATAGAGGAAAAACTTTAAACCACTTGAAGAGTAAAGTGGAACGACAACAACAACACAATCAAAAGGAAAAACTGTAAAAATGGTAAATATGAAATGCAATGCTAAGAAATAGAGTATGTCAGTGATTTGTTGTTAGTTGCCATGAAGTTGGCTTTGACTCATGGCAACCACATGTATAACAGAATGAAATGTTGCCCAATCCTGGGCTATCTTCATGTTTGAGTCCATTGTGGTGGCAATTGTAATCAATCCATGACACTGAGGGTCTCCCTAATTTTTATTGACCCTCCACCAACCATGATGTCTTTTGCAGTGATTGATCTTTCCTGGTGATGTGTCCAA